TGTTTGATCAAAATGACTTTTGGGTTTTGTTTTTTTCAAATTGGCCCAAAACTACATGTAAATACACATTTTTTCCAAGTTATGGATTACACCATACAGTAAGTGCACGCACGTACATGTACTTGTATGTACGTTGCAAACTCAACTACATGTATATGGGTGTAACAGAAACTTACATGAATGTGATGTAATGGGTTCGTCAATTGTGCAGCACGGGGGACAGTCACTGATTACTCGCAGTACAGATTTTAAAAATTATGTAAGTTTAACTTTTCAATTCACTGAAATTGTTATTTATGAACTAATTTTCATAAAATCAAGAAATTCTAAATTAGAAAATCAGCTCGTCACAATGGCTCTGGCTGACTTTTACTCATCTGAAATAGTATCCCATGCCTGGCTTTAAACTTCTTTTTTCAAAGTGTTTCTGTACACTTTAGTGACCTCATTTCCTCCATTTCAACCAGGGCAAAGGCAGTTTTCCACGGTCAAAACGGCATTGACAAAATTAACTTGTCTTGTCGGTTGAGTTCTTCACTTGCAAACCATAGTGGAAAAAGTGAATGCCTCACACCACACTTTTCTCAAATCAAATACCCAAACCCCATGCCCTGCCTGGAGATTACATGTACATTGAATCTGATGTCATTGTTCTCCTCGATCCCAGACGACTCCTTGCAACCCTGGGCATGGGGTTCTTTGGGGTCAAACAAGCCCTGAAATGTAGTTGGCACAGTTTGTTTTTCGTCCCTTTAGCACTCCATCACTCTTAGGGATGTGCATCCTGAATGTCAGATGGTTACTTATTCAAAGTTCGAATATTAACAGTCACATGTACTTAGTCAACATTAAATGTCGAACGTCAAATGCGGAATAAGAAAAAATGTAACTTCACACCGCCTAAACCGATTCAGAAATAGAAAAAGTGTTGTCACTTTTGACGATTCCTTAAGTCCAAATTTAAAGCTTACAGGAAGATTTTGAAAAGTAATTTTGTACATGTAGTTTTCTAATGCACAAGGTAGACTAGCGGTACATGTATATGGTACTGCCCATATTTCACCAGAATTATAGGAATCCATGGCTGGAACCTCACTGGAGTTATTTTTGAGATCCGGAATCAGGGAAATGACTGTACATCATCGCACTGTGCCCATGTACATGTATGTACATGTAACCCCCTTGATGGCAAGTTCCAATCAGTAAAAAATAGAAAATGCCCAGAAAAAAAAAATCAACTTTTGATGTCCTCCCAATAGCAATCTTGCCTTCATTTCAAATTGTTACCAAGAGCAAATTTGATTCCAAAAAGTGCCCAGGAAATACATGTACCTCAAATTGTACACCACAGAGCATCTAGAACCCAAAGTTTCCCGGGGCCCTTGAGCAGGCACCAGACCCCATGCCATAATGGCTTCACATTCCGCTCTCACACTGCGTGCCGCCCTGCTATAATTTTAGATGTGTGTATTTGGCCCTGTCAGCTCGTACTATGTTCATGTATGTCCACTAAAATTCTCAGCACTTTAATACTCGTATCCTTCCCTTGGGGATATTTTTCAATCAAGTCAAGTCTACGTCAATATGGGCCTACATTGTGCAATTTCACTGTTTGCATCATCTCCCCCAGAATTGTCAGAAATGCTGGCCTCCTTCTGGAAATCTCAATTCTTGGATTATTCCTTTTGCCCATGGTGGTACATGTAGTTTCCTCTGCTTTATCACTTCACAATCTTTGTTCGTACACATGTGTGGTACATGTACCTTGAAGGAACAGGTTCTCGACAAGTAAACAAAAAAATGAGCAAGAGGATGAAAACCTCACTGCTGTGAGTGATTTCTCAGTGAAAATTGACTGTGACAGAGTGGGCGTTTTCATCAAACTTTAAAGGAGCAGGACCTTTGTGCACAGCATTTATGTCTCTGGGGGATTCCACCCCCTCCCCTTTTGGAAATTTTGCTGTACTAATCCCAAACTGGGACAAGTATAAAGTTGCTCCCTCATGACCTTTTCCATTGAAGTCTTGCGCCACTTTTGATCTCAAATTTCCAAAAATCAGTCAAAGTGTTCCCACGTTACATGACAATCAAGGAGCAAAGGCTTAATAAATCCAAAAATTGGGATTTTTTCATATGCATATGTGTACATGTACACTACTCCAAAGAATTAAAGGAACAAAAGAACAGAATGTTTTTGTCATGGTCTATATGGGCTACCGTTAGAACAAGCATGACAAGAGGCATTAAAGTTACATGTGTATGTGACAACGCCCAAATGATTTTCACATAACTTTAATGCCTCTTGTTCTAATGGTAGCCCATATAGACCATGACAAAAACATTCTGTTCTCTTGTTCCTTTAATTCGTTTGAGTAGGTCCTAGTGTACATGTATATACATGTATTGGTAGATGTTACAAGTGATACATGTTATTCACATGACCCTGTCTGTGTTTCATTAATTCAGTTAATATTGGTACATGTACATGTACCGGTAGTGTCTTCTTGAAATGTTCGCCGGAAAAAATATTGTTTTATCTCTACACAAAAGTTTCCATCATTCCATCTTCGAGATCATGGAGAGGGGGTCAATTTGAAAACATACCTCTTACGCTCACTCCTTAACAGCCCAGTCTGAATAGGGTTAAACCACTTAGAGTAAAAAGATGGCTACTACATAACATTGTACATGTACTGGTTGGTGCAGTCATTTATCGTTGATGCAGGTTGTTCATGTTGTTCACACAGGACACGTACCAGTTCCAATGTACACCATACGTGTTCCTGGTACTATGAATAGAAGATGTTTAAAAAATGCTTTGATTGCATTCAAAAGGTGAATGGAATTGATGCCTTTGTAAATTAGTAGATTCAAAAGAACTAAACGGGAACCACCTTCTCTAAACCTACATGTACAAGTTTCAAAGGAAGTCAAAATGACAAACTGATTGAGTTGATAATGATCAAGGTTTCTCATTGTCATCTGTGGGTACAAATACATGTACATGTACATGTATGTGTGCATGTATACTTGCTTCCCAGGGGCTTTGAGGGTTGAGATATCACCTGCTATCTGTCAGTATCAGATTTGATTTTCACCTGTTACTGACACCAATGCCCTCCAGAATCATCTTGCAATGACAGAATCTTGATAAGAGGCACCTTAGGGAGACATCAGCCTCCTGGGGGGACGTGCTCCATGCAGTACTTAAACACATTGCATGGGGAATAGAATGATGTGTTCTTTTGTTGGCATGGCAACACTGACATTTGTGACAAGTGCAGCTTATTTACATGTACTGTATTTGTAGACTTTTGGATTTAAATTAATTTTCCAAATTTGGCACAGTGTACACATACACACATGCGGGGATCAGAACTGTATAGTCACATCCTAACACATTAAATGAATTTCTGTTCCTGTAATTTTTGCCCTGCAGCTACTGGTACAGTACACTGGACGTGTAATACATGTACAGGAACATGTACATGTACATGTAGGTACATATACAGTACTCCATTAGACATTTGCTTTGACAGTTTGACACCTATGGTACATGTACATGTACATATTTACTCAAGTGTGTACATTGTATCACTAAATAATTTAGTCAGCCATATTAGTTTATCAGTGAGAGTCCTCCATACATGCACATGTACATGGTGGGCAAACATTTCTAAATCTTGCATTAAAATTTTACAATTTTCTTACTAAATGTACATGTACTTCCAAGTTACGATACATGTAGCTAAGTTTGCATTGCCCCATGTACATGTATGCACATTACGTACACATGTCATGTATGTTCATGCCCCTCACTTTGTTTGTGTGCATGCGCACTGAATCCCACTACAGCCAAGAAGCCAGTAAAATGGCTCTTGACATGGACAGGTGGACCCCAAAACTAAATCGACCAATATCAAGCTCAGATATAGTTGTTTGCCCCTCACTTTCATACCAATTAGTATTTAAACACTCAAAGTTCCTTTTGCTAATTTGCACATGGAAAAAATCCATTTTCTGCCAAATTTTTGCCCGTCTTTCTTACAGGTGCATGTAAGTACCTCCAAAGTAACAGAGTCAGAAGTTGGAAGTGAAGCCAACATTTTAGAGGGAATTTTTTTCAGTTTTCCCTGACATTTCTCTACTTGTGAATAATGAGGAATATCATGAACGCTCTAATGACAAAGTATCATGCAAGAAGGAAACCGTATTGATGAAGACGGAAAGTTTTTGTTTGGGCCTCTTAGTTGGGCAATTTGACGTCGTACGTATTAGTGTGATGAAGGTAAAGTCAACTCATACCGAAACGCACTCATATCCAGGTGGGTGTGCGTGTATGCTATGCCCGTCTCATTTTTTACCACTTCGGTTATGTCGGACTCAGTGCGGAAATTTGAATCCACATGAAACACGAACCACATTTCAGACAAATGGCTCTCGATCTTGAAGAAATGAACTGATTGATACAAATGATTCATCAGTCTTTGAAACAGTATCACCCATGATTTGAGGGGACAAAAGTGTGAAAATTGGGCACTTAAGTACTGTAAGGTGAAAAACACGGAAAATGATGAAAATAGGTCCCAATGAAAAACGAAGTGAATTTCAGTAAAAGGTTTTCTGCCTAGAAGTAATAAACTTTTTTGATCATAAAAGTTACTAGTCTTTCATTTGGCATCAAAGTTATTTGAAGGTAAACCCGGCAAAATTGTGAAAATTAGACACAAAGTTAGCCAAAAAACGATTGTTTTTCATAATTATCCGAGCTGTCGAAAAATTGACATTTTCCACTTCTTTGATTGGTTTCCGGAGATCTGCTAGAATATCAGTTTTCAGGTTGACGACCACACCTGGTATGTTACTATTGCACATACGCGAATACACAAACTAAATGCACGCACAGTCTGTGGGAACCAAACATACCGGTATGTGGTGTACAGTGTCCATGTACTGTACATTGTACTGGTTCTTATCATATGCTGTACATGTACATACGGTACATGTATACATACAGTGTACACGCACGCCAATTTATTGTGTCACATATGCATAAATCACAGACTCAAGCCAACTTCATATTTGTCCTTTCTTGGCTCTACTCAATTTTTTCTCACATTTCAGATTGACCTCAAACAAAAATGAAACAGAAACAATTAATTTCCTGCATTGTGAAGTCCTTGGTTATGGTGGTTTCTGTTGTGGAAACTGTTATCCAGCCCACGTCAACATTGGTCACTGTCAAAGCTGCCAGGCGTCAGCATTGGATGATATCCTTGACGTTCACACACACAGGAAGACGAGTAACCTTCCTTTAAAATGCGCGTGGACCCTTGTTTGCACGTTCCTCGTGGATCAGCTTCAAAAGGGACCAGCCATTCAAGTGTGGCTGATGTGTGGTATTCAGTGTTGAAGAGATGGGAACTGGAGCTTCATCATCCAGCAGCTTAGAGTCAGAGTGAGAGACCGCTAGTAAACAGCTTGTGTTACTTGTACTTCTGGAAATGGGATTTGAAATCTGTCACCTAAGAAAATAGCAGAATAAGAATTCAAACTATTGATGTTAATTAACCTGCAGAAATTTGTGTGACTTTGATTACAACTTGAAAGTACTGCGTGTACATGTATGTGTCTGTACATATTTTACGTGGATGCTGGATCTGCAAGCATTGATAAGAGCTTTGGGGAAAAGTACTTCTGCCTAGCAACTAACTGTTGCCATAGTAACAGTTCATAAGTATCCCCAGTCAAAGGTAAATGTGCAGTGATTTAGCCCAAAGGGTTTGTACACCCTTTAATTACGCTATCTTTTTTCTGAACTGGTGATTTCAGTTGTAGATGAACATCACGTGTATGCACTGTGTTCATACAAAGTGTTTAATCAGCCATCCTCTTGTCCAGTCGCGTGCCCGTGTCATCGCTGTATGAAGACACACACTCACTCAGCTAACATACATGTACAGTAACACGGCAGTATAGTGGCATCGATCAGTCTGAAATCCCGCGAGCAGCAAGACCAACGGCACCATCCTTACAGCCCAGACTAGCCCTTAGAACTAAAACAGGAACCAAGCATTTTAGACGACAGATTGGATTTCTTTTGATGGCTGCAATGCAGACGGAGGCAGAAGAGAGAAGTGGGCCCAGCAAACAACTGATAGTGAGTAAAACTTTGAAATTACAGTGAACACAAATTGTGGTAACTTTCACTTGCCAAACATTTGTGTTTTGAACATTTTACTGGTACTAAGTACCTGTAGCTTGGGATCAACAAAATTGGATAATTGTACCGTAAACTTGTATTGAAACAAAACATTCCCGTTGCTTTTAACTGAATTATGGACAGAAATCCATGATGTGTAGTCTCCAGGGGTGAGATTTGTCAGCCTTTTTTTCCGATTTCAGGATTTTTTTCATCAGGATTTTCCTGATTTCAGGATTTTTCAAGCAATCTATTTTAAATATCTGGAAAAATCCTAGTTTATCTTTGTGGTGTGTTTACATACATGTACATTTGTGTAACATTTGATATGAAACACAATGGGTATTTAAGGGATGCCTTTTTAAAAAATAGACCCTACTGCACACTTCTGTGCGGCCATGGCCAAACCCTAGTGGTTCTTTTGTGGATATTGAATTTTCCTCCAATCTCACTCTTGTTTATAATTTTGCACACGCTGCATTGGCCAGGACAAAACAAAAACGTACACACTCCCTTGTGACACGATCGCCTTGTTCAAATGTCGTGTCAAACAAGTCGAACAAGGGAAGAAGGAGTTTTAGCGTGGATTCCTTCAAGTAATCAGACACTACTGGCATTCATGCAGACAAGAAGCTCAGAATGAAAAGAAGGACAGGGTCCAATAGGAGGGTCTTTCTTGTAGCTTATGGGCAGGAAATCAGCAATCAATGGGATATGGACTTCACACTGGTGCCTGCGTTGAATTGCGGATGAAATGTCAGTAAAGGCTGCTTCAACGTTACTCCAGCAGAAATGCAAAAGTCTATTTGCGTGCACCCGTACTCATAGAAACATACATACATGTGTAAGTGTGAAAGTCATTCACACAATATTTTTCCTTTTTCCTTTCTTGCTATTTCACTTTCTCATCATGGTTACTGAAGGTGGGAATTAACGTTTAATTTAAAAACCATTTAGAACACATTAAAACCCTTAGCAGGTGTCATTTGATATCTTTAAACACAACAAATTGTGTACATTGTACATGTAAATACCAGCAGTTGACACAAAGTTCCGGTGATGAATTCATGGTATTCCTTTGATATAACCGAGCAGTAACGGTGTTCCAAAAATCAGCTTACATTTTGCATTGTTTACAGTAAAAATCAATGGCAAATTCAAAATTAAAATGTCAAACCTCTAAAAGGGCGGTTTAGGAAAATCTGTTAACGGATTTGGGACTCTTTTCATTTAAACATGTAAACGTCCCACCCTTTGTGATTACTAATGTTGTTTCATTGAAATAATATTGTTGCCTGTACATGTAGGAGTTCATTTATCTTGCAACTGTTATAATTTCCTCACAGAGCCATCAACTTTCGCAACATCCAGTGTTTATTATTCAAACAGAAAGCCCACGTCCCCAGAAAGGGAGAAAACTGGTGGAATCCCTTCCTTCAGCAACAAGCTCTATCAGTTTACAATGCATCATTTCTTGAGGATCCTCAACAGTTCACACAGCTTAAAACTGAAATAATAAGGCTTGTTCTTGAGATGTTAATGTGATAAATATACATGTACTGTAATTGTTACACTTCAAGGATACTGGATGGTACATTGTACTCTGGCAAGCTTATTTTTTCCACACATGTAGTTCAGGGTAAGGTGATATGTGGCATACTGGTGCAACACGTCAAACTCCAGAAAAATGTTATCTACATGTACCTGCAAAATCTTGGTTCTTGGAGCAAGCATAGGTATGGGAACTGGCTATATAGTAGTACCAGATCGTGTACATTTCTGTCTTACTGCCCATCCCTTCCCTTCTTGGAACACAATTAATGTGTAAGCGCAAAAACAGCTTTCAATCTACATTTATGATTTCCTGTGTGTACTACTGGACATGTGATTGAAATCACAGAGCAATAAGGAAACTCAAAATTGGGGTTTATTTCCTCTTCATTTAAGCTGCAAGTTCCTGTTGGCATTTTTCAGCATTCACAAGGAATTACGTGTACTTGTGAAAGGTNTGGTACTGATGCTCACTGTACAGTACGTGCATGACATGTATTGTAGAATTGTGTAGGAAGTTGTGATCATATGCATGTCGACTCCGTTTAATCAAAATTTACATCTGCTCAATTCTCTGGCTGTGTCAATATACCGTACCCATGTGTATCCCGTACCCATGTACATGTACTGTACATGTATATCCAGTCACAGTAAATGAGGAACTTTTTCTTGTGGCATGCAGTTTTTGACACTCTACTTGCCCTTTTGTGTTTTTTCCTTTTGTTAAAACCAAATGCTATACATTTAATTTCTTAATTGCAAAACTACATACATGTACCTGTATGTAGCATTCCACTGACTTTCTCTTCATGGGCCATCTACATGTACCGGGAAATATCTGGTGTACATGTACATGTACAGTATGTATGTATGCAGACAGCGAAAAAATGTACATACTGTGCATGTGTAATGGAAGATCTCTGTGGACACCATGGCTTACTAAAGTCATGCATTACAGTAACCCTGTCCTTGCCAACCCTTGGGATTTACTGGTAGCTTCTATATATATTTTTTTCTTCAAGTGTTTGTGGAGAATTTTTTCATTGTGTTGAAATGATGAATTATCCTGAGCACTAGTCCCCAGGATCAGCCGTTACTATTCAGGTCATAAATGATTCATTTGAGACTGATGAGCTTCGATGGTGTTAGCGTGGGTTCAGTAAATAAGATGGACATCATTATGAATTCATTTGGCATTTCAGATAAGTTTAAAAGAAAGAAATGCTGGCATTTGGAAATGGGTAATGTAATTTCTAAATTTACATACGTGTACAAAGTACATCTACCTGTGTGAGACAGTGAAGGATTGTCATAAGTAAAGCACTCATTGGTGTAGGTTGAGTTTGATTATTGCAGGCGACAGGAAAGCTTTGTGGCCAGAGAACAGAGAGCTCATGGTCTGCTTGAAGATTAGAACTCTTCAGACCACCAATAAGTGATGGCCTACTTTGCAGGAGACAGATTGCAAATGGATTTATCCTGAACCATACATCATATCCACAGCTGACCTCACTGAGACCAATTTTATCTCTGCATTAGCTGTTGGTAATGAATCTCAGAGCAGAGCTGGTTAGCTCAGTGTTTGCTCTGAAAAAGTATCATGCTGGTAGACTGTGATAAGAATGTTTTTTCTACCTGATGGAAATGCCACTGGCCAAATGTTTGATTTGCAATGCCCCCTTGTGCTTACCAGAAGTGTACATGTACATGTGCAGTGGATCTGTGAGTTATTTCTCTGGCCTTGTTTGAAGTGGTTATTTTTTGCCTTCAGAGTTTTTTCCATTATTGTACTGTACCATTACAGTCATCCAAACTACAGGTAGATTTTCATCCCATTTTCACCTCATACCCCTACACGTACAATGTACTTGATTAGCAAACTGCAGTATCATTAAGATGTTGATAGACCGGTACATGCGTGTGGCCCAACTAGTACATGAAGTGTTTCAGGTCAAACGTCATTGTGCAAATTCTGTGTACATTTACTTTAAGAGAGAAACAGCGCTGCAAGTTAACATGACAGGTTGATACAGTATCCACACTTCCAGTGTACCTGTATGTACATGTATATTGCAGTTGGATGCCTTGGGGAGTCCAATATTATGATCTCACAGTCTTCAGCTTCATCAGAGAGCAGTTTCTCTGCTTCTGGTCATAGAATTGAACACCATTATCCGATCCAGAAAGAAGAAAGAAAAAAAGCCCCCCCAGATTATGAGCTTGACACCTGCCCCCAGCTAGAATTACTGGGAATTGTGTTGATAAGGTGAGGATTGCTTCTTGTGTATTCACTGTCGTCAGCCTTACAAGAGCAACTTCTTTCGTCAGTTGGAGCTGTCTACAGATTTAAATTCGATTGCATTCAAAATACACATAGAATAAAATGACTCATCCAAATTGTTGTGTTTAATTCATTAGTTAATTTGATACGTGTACAGACGTGTACATATATCTGCAGACCTGGTGTTAATGTTGGAATAATTGAAGGGATATATACTGTACAGTACATTAAAATGTGAATGCAGCTTTTGTACTATTCTTTAAAACAAGTGACAAAACATTTATATTTCCACTGTATGGTGTGCTGTATATCCATCCAACTTGGATCTAGCCAACTCAAGCCTCAGGGCTCTCTATATAATGTCACCAAACTGACTGTCCCATTTGCAATGGACACGCCAGGCCAGAACTTCCATACACCGTATAGCACACTTTAATTTCCACCTTGGATAGCAAGAAGATCCATTAAGCTGTGACACAGTGCAGCCAAATAAAATGCATTAATTCCCTGACTGTAAATGTTGTGCGTATTTGTAACTCTGCACTCCCTTGTTGGATGCAACCTCAGGGAGTTCTGGCTAAAAACTCCACTTCATTTCAAGCAAGGCCGCCTGAAGCATTCTTCAGTTCTGGGTCAAATTCCTATTTAGCGTGTGGGCATGGTCAATTATTGTATTTGTCAGGTTATTTTGCACTGGATGGGAGTCAGATGTGCATTCAATTTACGTTATAGATCTACATAAATGACATTATCATGGTTTGATGCTTAATGTATGAGTTCATGCAGTGAGCAAAAGAAAAAACATTATACTGCACCAGTTTTTTTCAAAATTGTGTATCTTCTGTTAAAACCTTCAGCCAAGATGTTGTATTTTGTGATTTTTATTCGAGGCAAGATTCAATTACAAATTCAGCTAATAGTAATCGCCTACCATTTCTACCAACTGCTCACCCTTAATTCTTTATGAATATGGCAAGTACTGTGTACTTGTGCTTGTCTGCTTTTCAGGCAAAAAAAAAATGAAAACCACTTGTACTTTGCAATAACCTCAGCCGTGCATCACGTACATGTAGGGTACACATGGTATTACCTGACGATGACCAGTGTGGATGATTTTCTCTTCAAA